GGCAGAAGGGGATGAAACCCGAGACCCTAAACTTCCCTAAACCGAGAAAAAGGACGGGGCTCGACCCCAAACGACCCGAAATAGACGACGACCAGAATCACACAAAGCTGCAGGAATAGGGACAAGAATTAAGATAATGGCACTGATTCTTGAGCGGTTTGTCGGGCCAATGGGGGCTTGGTCCGTAGAGGGGCAGGATTAGAGCTAGGGATGGATCTTTTTTTAAGACGTGGTTCTTGTTGGCTTGTAGGGCTTATAAAGTGTACATGTCGAGGGACTAGGGTGTCGAGTCTAAGTTTGGGCTTTAGGGTCAAAGGGTTTTGCGGTTGAGCCTCTGGTTTGAAGCGGCTAGTGTGCAGCGTTTATCATTTCAGTTGGTTTTGCGCACCTAAAGGAGTTGCACTCATCTGCGTACAGGATCGCACAAGCTGTTCCAGCCAACTCGCACTCGTGATTCGTGATGTCTAATGCCACACCTCAAGCGGTTGTGAGCATCCAGGGGTAAGGGTTTACGGGTTGCTGTCTTGTTGGCTTTAGAGCTTGAGGTCTATGGTTTCGTGGCTTGGGGCTTTGTCAAGTGCGAAGAGTGTTTGGTTTCGCGAATTCGGGGTCTTGGCATTGTACTGCCTGATGGGACACATCTCCCAAGCTCGCGGCACAGGATCCTCCCGAACGATGGCGTAAGTAGCCTCACATGAAATGGTGGAATCACAATCCAGCACAGGGATCCATGTTCATACGTTCTCGTACGTTGTCGGCATCTTTGTTTAATACAATAAGGCAGAAACCTTACAAACGCAAGGCAGGTGGGCGCGCGGGCGGCCAGGACGAAATGCTGCGGTGCATATCGGAGGTGACAGAGAATTTAGCCATGCTGCGAGTATTAACTGTACCAGTTACAAGCTCTTGTCTGATCATGTCCATCGGATAATAAGCACAAAAATCATAATTAGTATAATCATCATCATCATAATCATCATAACAAGTATTCTACTCGTCGATCTTCCCTACGCTTGTTTCCGGTTCCTGATTTCGGAGTTGCTGTCTCGGGTGTGGGTGGGGTCTTTCAATTAGGTGTAGGGGAAAGTGGTTAAGGCCCCGTCCCAACCACAGGTCGGTACATGATTCGGCACACCCCCAATACCATGGTGCCCAGCTCTATGCGATTCAGGTGACAGACCTGTGACAAGTCGTAAAGGAGGCTTGCATTGGGCCGCAAGCATATACTCTGCAAGTTGTAATCCTGTACTTATTCGTGAAACCTCGAACCCAGATCCTGTGGACCCAAACCTGCACGTTCCTGCATCACACACACCACTCCCAAGAATCAGGGATAAGAACACTAACTAAGTCCAAACCGTCCAAACCCCCAGAGCTCCAAACCCTAAACCGCTAGGCCCTAAACCCCGAAACCTGGGGCGATGGCGGGCCCAGACCTCCTTTTTCCCGGGCCGCCAAAAGAAAAACTTGTTCCGGGGAGGGGTCGGAGCTGATCCGAAACAGCGGCGCAAGAGGGTCTCGCAATGACTCTGCCTAGAACTGCTGCTTTTGCGGCTCTCGCATAAAGCGTGTAAATGGTTGTATACTTATTGCAAGCATTTACAAGCTTTACCTTGCATAGCACTAACGGCACGAACTACAAGGTTCCATGGAGAGGTGATAGGGGCCAGCCTCGGGTCAAGGATTTAGTGCTCTGGGTCGAGTTCCTTTCGCTTGGGCCAGGCGATCTCGGAGTTTTAGAGCTGTAGGGTCCACATATAGGCCTTTTCAGGTTTACGCTGCCGTCGTCCGTGCCTTGAGGCATGAGGGGTTCAAAGTCTCGGGATTCCTTGCGGGCAGAGGGAAAAGAAGCAGGATGAAGGTGCTTGCTGGGAGGCTCCTCCTAGGGTACGAGCAACCCTGCCAGAAGCTATTGAAAAGTTCCAGGGCTGAATGAGTTGAGAATGATTAGTCAGCGCTGCATACGAGTCTCAAGTAATGTGCTTTAGGCTGGGCCTTCAGAGCTTGAGACTGTTTTCTATGATCCCGGGCTCTGCAGCGTCTAAGCTTACTGTCCCTACAGAGGCACTCGGTTTTTGTCCCAATGTCCCAGTGCCGGCTTAGGCGTGCAGCACTTGCTCCAGAAGCTTCCAAGCTCTGGCAGGGCCAGGGATTTACGTCGAAAGCTTGGTGCCTTGGGGTTGCACACCCTGAGTCCTAAACCCTAAGCCCTCACCCTACGTATTGAATGCAGCCCGAATCCCCAACCCTCAATAGACTTGCAGGCCCTTGGGCCTTTGCTGTACATGGCTTCGGCTATGGCCGTCCACAGCTTTCCATGTTTCAAAGCATTGACGATGCCTGCCTGTTAAGTTTAGGTTTAAAGAGGTCTGACTTCAGGCTTGCCGTTCGGAGCTTGGGGCACGTTGGGGTGAGAACATCGGCAGCCGCATCCTTTGTGGAGGACCGTCTTGGCAACACAAAGGCTTCGGAGCGACGCGACGCTGCATCTCTGAACCCTAGGCCCTAGGTTCGGTTCGTTTGTACCAAGAACTACGAAATGGCTACTGTCTGTCCAGGCTCGGGGCCCAAAACCACAGCCCTCCAGCCTAACTCCTTGAAGCCCTCCAAACCTATACTCCCAAACCATTCCATCTTCTGTCGCCACCCTGAAACCCCAAGGCAACTGGAGATGTGATGGCAGATGTCATGAATACGTACTTCTGAGTTTCTGAAAGTATCACATTCTCTGGTGTCTAGCACATCTTGTCGAAATTCACCTTAGAACAGCTTCCGCTCATCTACCTCATTATATAACACAGAACATGTTCCAGCCGCCCGTCAAACATGTCAGGAAAGTCTTCCAAAAGCCGACAGGTATGCGGTAAAGATGATGCTAGATCAGCTAGAACATAGAAACCTCTCAGTTATCGCCTCAAGCGTCTCAATACTGGTTCGTCGTCAGAAGCCGCTCAATCTGCTCACCACTCATGGTCCGGAGCATCTTCCTTCCCGGCTGTCCAACATGCCAAACCCTGGGCCCAGACCCCACATCCTGAACCTGACACCGAGGCCGTACCTCTTCAATCCGAAACCCCTGAGCCCTAAGCTTTGAACTCTACACCCCGAGCCCTAAGCACCATGTCTTGAACGAAGTCCGTAGAAGGCCGTGAAACCTTGTTCGGTCTTCCGAGACTCATTTTGGGGTTTAGCTCAACCTAAAGCTCTCTACAACCCCGGGCTTCAGACAAGACACCAGTTCTCAATTAGCGATCCATGGGTTTTGGGCTTAAAGTCCCTTGCTCAATACTTGTTTACTTTGCGGCACTGAGCCGCTAATTTCCTAAACCTCCAAAAAACCCTGGCATCCTGGACGCCTCAAGGACCCCCAACGAGGTGCCTCAACTCAGAGCAAGTCCCGAAAGGGTCTGGCCTGGCGTTCTTGTGCCACTTTCGGACCTTTTCCGTCTTCTTCACGACCTGGCTAGGAATGTCGTTTAGGGTTTAGGGTTTAGGCCGATCTTCAAAGTTTCGGTCGCGGGCTGCGCCCTTACGTCCCAGCAGCTTCAATACCAAAGACGTCCCGTCGCATGAACCAGTGAAGACCCTACAAGGAATCGAAGCTCTCAGCCATAAGCAAGCTCTATTACCCATTGAAACCGGAAGCCGGGAGCCACACCAGCTTCAAAGGAAAGCCCTTAAGATTTCGGGCTTGCGGTTCGATGGTTTGGATTCTAGGGCTTTTTGGGTTTTGGGTCTTGAATGGTCTTGAGGTTTGGGGGCTTCGGGTTTAGATGTTGAGGTTTCCTTGCTTCAGGCTTGCGATTCAGCTCAACTCCTGATCAAGACCCGGAAAGGTTTACGACTCAGCAATTACAGCCGCCTGTGGGCACGAAATGCAGTAGAACTGAACCCTTTCCACTTGCGCCTTCTGGACCCCGGACATTGGACTCTAATTCCTGACATCCCCGACCCTAAACTTAGCCTCAACCTTAGTCCCCTTAACCCTAAACCCCCAGATCCCAAATCCCTCAGCCTCAGCCCTCATTCCCAGAAACCTGGACCCACACCCGACCGAAGCTGGATCTTCGCTCCGGAAACCGATGAACCCTGAACTCGAAACCCGGACCCCTCTTCCTCCTAGAACCGGGCTGGGGCCGTTTAGACGCTTGGAAGCCTAAATTTGCAGTGCGTGCCTGGAACTGGCCCCCCTTAATTTCGTTCTCCTCCTTCCTTCTCTTCTTCTCCTCCCTGGAGGGCAGCGCCGGGTGTGGGGTTTATTAGGGTCAGGGTTTTGCCAGGTGTGACGGCATGTTAGGGTTTAGGGTTTTTGCGGTTAAGATGCTGAAATTGTGGGCCCTTACAGAGTATGGCTGTTGGGCTTCCGGGCCTTGAGCCGAGAGGCATGATGTTTACATGCCTCGTCTTTTTGGGGGCGTGGGGGCCTTAAGGATCTAGGGATCTAGCATTCAGGGTCTTACGGCTTACAGGCTTTAAGCCTTCTGGGTGGATAGAAGCTCGGGACTACATCACCCGATGCCAGGATCCTCCTTATGTACGGACTCCCGCATCATGCATTCCTCAGTTTGAGACACAGACCCGTGTTGCCTGTGCAAGCGTTGAGGTCTAATTTGTCGACCCGAAACCAAAACTGCGGATTTAGGGTTATGGTTACTATTATTACTATTATTACCATTACTACTATTATAACTATTATAACTATTATAACTATTATAACTATTATAATGGGTTCAGGGCCATCAGGTTTGGGTTTGGATATTAGGGCGGAGGCCCACTCCTTAACGCCAAGGTTGAAAGCTTCAGCCATACACATCCTGCCTGGACCCAAACCGTACGTAAACACTTCACCCAAAAGCCCAAAGTTCTGAAACTACAACCCAAAACCCCAGAACCCAAAACCCTAAAACCTTAAACCTTCGACCCCAAACCTGTTCCTCTCTTATCCGACAGACCGACTAGACGATGCTCGAAGAATGATGCCTTCTTGAAAGGGCACAAAGCTAAGCTCGGCGCTTTTTCTTGGCTTTCTGCTTCTTCACGGCCTTCTTAGCCTTTCCAAGTCTTCAGCAGGTCGTGTTGTGCTGTAAGCTGCCAAAATACTGCCGGGATCTCGCATGCTGCCATGTAGCAATGCTCCGTGTCCGACCCTGTCTGTGCCACTCGCTTATGTTGGAAGGATAGCCCAGCGTACCCTGAACCTTTGTGTTGGCCGTGAAAATGCGTTCAAACGAGGGTTTAGGCCCAGGAGTATATCACAAAACAAGTATGGCAGGGACTACTAGGGGACATTATTGCTGCTAAATACTCAGACCCATAAAGGATAGTCAAGGGCTCTGCAAGCTAGCAATCTCGCCAAGCTTGTGCAGGAGTACGACAAGCTTGCAAGAACCTCTGAAGCTTGCAGACATGGGAGAATGAATGGTACCTCAATAAGGTCATTAGCGTGCCGGCCTCTTCCAGCTCCTTTGCCTTGGCTTTGACCGCCTCCAGTTCCTCGACATCTTCGTGGTTACGGGCTTCTGGTGGTGTCTTTTTGGAAAGCGGCACGGTTTCGGACGGTCTCGGAGGGAACTAGGAAGCTTCAAGGAATTTAGTACGACTCGTCGAAGGATCCTCAAACGTCTTTAGACTCTCTCCTTTCTTTATGTCGTGCCGCTGCAAAAGCACGAGTCAGAGGGTCTGCGCTCTGAAGCCTAAGAAACCAAGCCCACAATCCTACGCCCCTAGAGCCCCTGAAATCTAACCCGCAAAGCTCAAAGCAAGAGAGCAGCCCTAAAGCACTGGAGCCAAGACCTTACAGCTGCAAAAGACCTGAGTCCCATAGCCGCGAAGACAAAACCCCGAAGCCCAAGGGCGGGTGAGTTCCGAGCTTAACGTGCAACAACGATTAATGTAGGGGCCTTGATAATTCGAATAAGGTTTTGGTGTTTATGATACTGTTATTACAGTAGTAGTTAGTGTTTGTTACACTGTGATTACAGCAAGGAGCCCCAAAACAGTGTTGCTAATTGTTTCGGCCCTTGTAGTAGATGAACAGTTGCTCTTGGGATAGCTCGGCTGAAGGTAGACTTACAAGAAAGCTGACCTCGAACACCCCTCCAAGCCCTCCCTGGGACCGATCTACTTTGTATATCACTTGCGACCTACTCATCTCCAAGCGCCACTATGACAATGACACCGACCACACAACATCCAGATCTTTCTATGTCGTATACCTACATCACCCAGACGCATTCGGAACCCTACACCCTAAACGATAAAGGCACGTATGAGCAAGACTCGGTTCCCAGGACACCGTACTAACAAGGATGCCCTTTATCTTATTAGTTGATCAATCAGTTGTCAGAGGAACACCCCCGCCGCCCCCCCCAACAAAAAAATAAAAACAAACGGATGCCATTGGGAGATTTAGAAGAGGAGGAATCTGATGAGAGCCCCGTGGCATCTTACGCTGCCCCCTCTTGGTCCCCGACCCGCTTGGCTTTCTGTCGCTCCTCCCATGGAACCTCGAGATGCTTAAGGCACATTACGGCTTTTGGATCTTAGAGGTGCGGGGGCGCGAGTTGAGAGTGGATTGGGTGCCTAGATTTTCCAGTTTTTGGCTTCATGGAACTGGGCCTTCAAGATGTGGAGCCGGTGGTTTCGAGTTCAGGGCTTCACAGCTTGCTGCTTTTTAGGTTCTTGTGCAATTAATCGCGATCAGTTTCTATGGCATTCCATGGCTTCCAACTTGTTGCTTCTTGTGCAGTGTGACTGTCGGTGTTTTGCTGTTTTCGAGCACCTGGGAAGCGACCCCAAGCCGCGTACGCCGCAGCCTGAGATCCTACACCTAGGTGTGAGAGGCTCGGTGTGGAAGTTCGTCATTCTTCTGCGGTCTTGTGGTCCTCTGCGTGTCGCGGTTCTCGGCTGCATTGGCACTGCCGGACTGCTTGGCGTGTTTAGGAAGGATTTGCAGTATCGCGACTCTGATATTGGTTGGAGTGTCGCTTGTGGTGTTGTGCGTCTTGGCGCATGTATGTCTCGACCGCAGTGCGCATGGGAATGCCACCCTCGCCCTCAGTGACTAGCTCCGCCTTCGGGGGTCTCCTGAACCACCCCGAACCCGTTGTTCAAGATACCTTTGGCTAAAACAGACTTAGGTAGCCCGGCGAGCATCAGGAACATCAGCCGGAGCTTCGCTTCTGCGCCATTCTCCCAAAACCCCTAGCGGCGGACATCATCCGTGCTGTCGCACCAAGCCTCATACCACCCGAGCAGCGAGTGCCATGTGCATCAACCGCAGCTTTGGCGCACCAGGCCTCACAACACCCGGCTAGCATCATGAAGCTCTGCGACCGCAGTGGGCACGCACAACCACCGAGCGGCGAGCATGATGAGTATCAGGCAAAGCGTTGATACGGACCATGTCCCCGCGCCGGAGCTTTACCACAACACCCGAGCCGCAAGCATCATGAGCCGGAGCAATACCAGTCATGAGAATCTGCCGGAGCTTTGCTACCCCATCAACCCGCCATGTCACCGGAGCAGCGAGCATCACGAGCATCACCCGGGCGGCGAGCATCGTGAGCATCAGCCGGAGCCACCGGAGCAGCAAGCATCACGAGCATCACCTGCCCGGCGGCGAGCATCATGAGCATCAGCCGGAGCTTTGCCACCTTATTAGGCCCCTATATCACGGGAGCAGCAACCGAGAGGCCAGCATCATGAGCATCAGCCGGAGCTTTGCCACCCCATTAGGCCTCTATATCACGGGAGCAGCGAGCATCGTGAGCATCACCCGAGCGGCCAGCATCATGAGCATCAGCCGGAGATTTGCCACCCCATTAGGCCCCTAGATCACGGGAGCAGCGAGCATCGTGAGCATCACTCGAGCGGCCAGCATCATGAGCATCAGCCGGAGCTTTGCCACCCCATTAGGCCTCTATATCACGGGAGCAGCGAGCATCGTGAGCATCACCCGAGCGGCCAGTATCATGAGCATCAGCCGGAGCTTTGCCACCCCATTAGGCGCCTGTATCACAGGAGCAGCGAGCATCGTGAGCATCACCCGAGCGGCCAGCATCATGAGCATCAGCCGGAGCCTTGCCACCCCATTAGGCGCCTATATCACAGGAGCAGCGAGCATCGTGAGCATCACCCGAGCGGCCAGTATCATGAGCATCAGCCGGAGCTTTGCCACCCCATTAGGCCCCCATATCACGAGAGCCCCTATATCACGGGAGCAGCGAGCATCGTGAGCATCACCCGAGCGCACCCCATTAGGCGCCTATATCACAGGAGCAGCGAGCATCGAGCATCGTGAGCATCACCCAAGCGGCCAGCATCATGAGCATCAGCCGGAGCTTTGCCACCCCATTAGGCGCCTATATCACAGGAGCAGCGAGCATCGCGAGCATCACCCGAGCGGCCGGCATCATGAGCATCAGCCGGAGCTTTGCCACCCCATTAGGCCCCTATATCACGGGAGCAGCGAGCATCGTGAGCATCACCCGAGCGGCCAGCATCATGAGCATCAGCCGGAGCCTTGGCATCCCATTAGGCCCCTATATCACAGGAGCAGCGAGCATCGTGAGCATCACCCGACCGGCCAGCATCATGAGCATCAGCCGGAGCTTTGCCACCCCATTAGGCCCCTATATCACGGGAGCAGCGAGCATCGTGAGCATCACCCGAGCGGCCAGCATCATGAGCATCAGCCGGAGCCTTGGCACCCCATTAGGCCCCTATATCACAGGAACAGCGAGCATCGTGAGCATCACCCGAGCGGCCAGCATCATGAGCATCCGGCGGAGCTGCGAGCATCGTGAGCACAACCCGGACTTCGAGCAGCATCAGCCGGCCAGCCAAGATCCCCTTCGAATCAAGATCCCATCATGAGCGCGTAACTAAAAATCACTACAAAGGCGTTCCCGCTCCTCGTTCAAGGCACATGGGAGCTTCGGTTCTTCGGGGCACTGCTTTCGCACCAGTGTCGGGGTGCGTGTATTGTTCTAGGTTTCGGGCTACATAATTCAGAGTAACCGTAAACAACGAACTCCCTTTAGCCCCCAAACTTTAGTGGGAGGATCGGCTTCACGTGGCGTTGACCCCTAAAAGGAGCCGTCGAAAACGAAGCTGACAGCTGCTGCAATGGTAAACGCTACGCACTGCTCACGCGGTTCCAGACCCCGTGAGGCCAAAGCCGGAAGAGAATTCCGATACCGAGAAAACAGGATAGTTAGAGGATCCTCGCAATTCAGTGTATTAAGCCTTCTTGTCAACCGACATGCGAAGTCCTCCTGCCCTTCACGAAGATGCTATGCCCGCCAGACATCGCAAAACCGTCGTAATCCTTTACATTCCGCTCACTAGTTCCGCCCTGCAATGAGGACCCGGTCCCGGCGGATGCTCACCGCACGGGAGGAAGCGCGCGTCTTCGTGGGCTTCCGCTTCTCCTGGACCCCGTGGTCGGTTGGTAGAACTAAGGTACTTTACGGGTACTCTACAGGCTTGAGGGTTCAGGAGTTTAGGGTGCAAGTACAGGGCTTGACACCTCAGGCTCGGATTGACCAGAGATATAGCTTGGCATTTTCGGCTTAAGCTGCAGGGCTTTTAGGACTTCAGGGGGGCCGTCAATCCCAAAACCCGAAGCCCCGAACTCCTAAACCACCATAAACACACAAAAAGAATCCTAAGCTTGGCTTCTAAGGCCTGGCTCTGGGATGCTCTGGGTCTTGACTTTTGAGATTTATGTTTTGACGGTCTGGGGCTAAGGCTGTAAAGTTTTAAAGCTCAGAGCCAAGGGCCTTGGGTATCGGCTTGAGTGGCTTTTCGGGCTTTGGGTTTGGTGTCCAGGCTGTTGGTGCAGAGTTTAAGGCTTCTCGGGGTCCCTAGCCCTGAACCACTCACCCTTTCAGGCTTTTAGTTCCAGGGTTTAGGAGTTTGAGAGTGCGACCCCACCCTGAACCCGAAGCTAGAGACCACCTGCACGGAAGCAATCAAGCTCCCAAACCGTCACCGGATGCAGGAAATGCCTTTGCAACAACGCGGCTGCGCCCGCACACCGCGAATCCAGCTTGGAGGCTGGATGACAAAATAAGACCCGAGCACCCTACAGTTCTCAAAACCCTAAACACCAACATCCTAAACCGCCGTATCCTAAGCCTGAAAGAGCAGGCGGCCTTCCACTGCTTCCTGAAGGCCTGCGAGGGGGGTGGGTCTAAGGTGAAGGCTTCGGGTCTAAGGAGCTACTACGAAGCTTTACAGCCTAAATCATCCTGGATTGGGGTATCGGGTTGAGGCTGCAGGCTGGAGGCCCTAAACTCTAAACTCTAAACCCTACCTAAACCTAACCCGGATGCTTTCAGGGAGCTTCGAGTTGAAGGGCGCTTCGCACTGGAAAGACAGATCAGAATTCGAAACTCCCCCTGAAAAACAACACCACCACTGCCACCACCATGGCGACCACAACTGCTACTGCTACTAGCAGTGCTACGACACTCCTACTACCACGAATGCTACAACGACTACTGCTACTACTTCTACTACTACTGCTGCTTCGCACGCCCATAGCACTTCCCTTCAAAAGACCACGACTGCCTTGCCCTTGACCATGGCTGCAGCGCTGGCACCGACGCTCGGCTACTTTGGGTTCGACTGCGATCTTCAAACTTGTTCCTTTGGGCGGTGTCTGTGGATTTTGTTCCTCAGGGCTGAAGGGTCCAGGCTGTCTGGGCTAGGGGCAAGGGCCGCGCTTCGTGCTGCTTTGCTTCTGCAGATCGAGAGCGCCTTGCATGCCCACATTGATGCTAAGCTTCTGCAGCAAGGTCTCCCAAAAGGCATCACCAACTCTGGCTGTCTGGCTGGACACACAGATGCTCATCATGGACCCTGCAGTAACCTTTTGGCACACGCAAAATCACGCAAACATGCGCATGAGGGGGGGGGAGCCCCTTCTTGAAACCTTTTAGCAAATTAGGATCCTTGCATCGGTTGAAAACGTTTCAGCAAAGAGGTCGTTGTGCCGGTTGATGCGGTGGTCTGGCAGGACAGAGAGCTCTGAAGTCCTTTGGACTTGGCTCCTGCCTGTGGCAATTTGATCCCGGCTCGGACCACCTCACAACACCAAGCCCTGGCTTCTCGCCTGTATTCAGGCTACAGGAGCAGAGCAACAAAAAAGGAGAGTGTGGCACCCATCAACGCTTTGATGCTGAAGCCCTGCGCAAGCGAAGTTGAAGTCGGAGTTGTAGTCGCAGGGCACGGGCAATAACCACTGGAGCAGTCGCCCGAATGCTCGTCGGTCTCCTTGTTGTACTCGTGGATTACGATCCCTGAGCTGGGGAAGAAGCTGTTGACGTAGCAGGAATCTACCAAGTCGTACTTCACACAAGCGTTGTAGTATGCTTCTGTTGCCATGACTTCTGCCAAACAGGAGTTGATCGCTTCCGGCACTCCAGTCCCCTTCTTGGACAGCGCCAGGGTCGTGCCATTGACGACGTAGCCGAACTGCCCTGTCTGGACGTAGGCATACTCCGTGCCGAAGCCTTGCCACAGCGTGCAATTCCATGCCGCAACCATGGTTCCATCACACTGGTAGTTCTTGGCTTGGTCAGCATACACGAACATGGCGTCGGCTGCGCCGTTACGCAGCATCGTCATTGCTGCGTCGTTGCCATCACCCACAACCAATGTGTAGTTGCTCGAGTACTTCTGGTCTAAGCACTTGTTCGTCACGAAGTCCAAGCCATCTGCCGTAGGGGCCTCAGACCCGTGTCTGATCACGCGGGTTTGCTTCCTGCCTCAGGGGCCTCTAAGTCATACCTGCAAGGGGCTGGGACGCTATCGCTTCAGCTTGTCTCGGAACCGTGCATAAGCTTCCGATTGACTAAAATCATGGTCATGCCTATGCAAACTGAGAAAGCAAGGGCAGTGCACTTTGCCGTACATTGCTCTTGTCTGAGGGAAGCACCCAGCCACCGACATCCACGACGGTCTTGCCGTTGAGGTCCGAGTGGCCATCCACTTTGGGCATGCCGTTTTCCAGCAAGGTTAAGAGGCCAGCTGCCTTGTTCACATCCAGGATGCCAATAGAGAAGTCCGCGAAGTCGTTGCGAATCCCCTGCGTGTGCGTGTAGGTCATGCAGGCATCCAGGGTGCCGTTGTCCAGCAAAGCTCCGAGACTGCCTCCTCCGGCCGAAGACCAGCAGTCGGACCACCGGGTCTCCACGACGGTAATGTTCAAAGTAGCTGAGCAATGAGCGTTCATTGCCTTCACCAACTCCACGGCGAATCCCGTCAGCTCACCGCTTGTCGCGTTCTTGGAAGCATAGGGTGGGTAGTCGATATCCTGTCCGAACGTGTAGGACGTCACAGCAGCCGAGGCGGTCAGCACCTGCAACGCGAGCAGCAATGTGAGCTTCTGCGCCATTGCACGGGAACAGTGGCTTCGGTGACCTCAGGATCTTCTTGGTGCCTCTTCTCCGAGCTTGAGCCCAAAACCGTAGCATGGACCTTCTTCAGCCAGGTTTCTCAGGGAACAGGAAGTCGACGATCGGGTGAAAGGCGTGTTTAAAGCATCCAGAGTTCAGTATGTAACGTTTACGGTAGCTACTACAAGTAATATACTAGCAGAATGTGTGAACCAGTTTTCTTTGCAATTTGGAGACGTTTGAGAAAAGCCGCTCAGAGTGTGCAGCCTGATTACTGCTTCTGCAGCAGGGTCTCCCTAAAGGCATCACCAACTCTGGCTGTCTGGCTGGACACACAGATGCTCATCATGGACCCTGCAGTAACCTTTTGGCACACGCAAAATCACGCAAACATGCGCATGAGGGGGGGGGAGCCCCTTCTTGAAACCTTTTAGCAAATTAGGATCCTTGCATCGGTTGAAAACGTTTCAGCAAAGAGGTCGTTGTGCCGGTTGATGCGGTGGTCTGGCAGGACAGAGAGCTCTGAAGTCCTTTGGACTTGGCTCCTGCCTGTGGCAATTTGATCCCGGCTCGGACCACCTCACAACACCAAGCCCTGGCTTCTCGCCTGTATTCAGGCAAGGAGCAGAGCAACAAAAAAGGAGAGTGTGGCACCCATCAACGCTTTGATGCTGAAGCCCTGCGCAAGCGAAGTTGAAGTCGGAGTTGTAGTCGCAGGGCACGGGCAATAACCACTGGAGCAGTCGCCCGAATGCTCGTCGGTCTCCTTGTTGTACTCGTGGATTACGATCCCTGAGCTGGGGAAGAAGCTGTTGACGTAGCAGGAATCTACCAAGTCGTACTTCACACAAGCGTTGTAGTATGCTTCTGTTGCCATGACTTCTGCCAAACAGGAGTTGATCGCTTCCGGCACTCCAGTCCCCTTCTTGGACAGCGCCAGGGTCGTGCCATTGACGACGTAGCCGAACTGCCCTGTCTGGACGTAGGCATACTCCGTGCCGAAGCCTTGCCACAGCGTGCAATTCCATGCCGCAACCATGGTTCCATCACACTGGTAGTTCTTGGCTTGGTCAGCATACACGAACATGGCGTCGGCTGCGCCGTTACGCAGCATCGTCATTGCTGCGTCGTTGCCATCACCCACAACCAATGTGTAGTTGCTCGAGTACTTCTGGTCTAAGCACTTGTTCGTCACGAAGTCCAAGCCATCTGCCGTAGGGGCCTCAGACCCGTGTCTGATCACGCGGGTTTGCTTCCTGCCTCAGGGGCCTCTAAGTCATACCTGCAAGGGGCTGGGACGCTATCGCTTCAGCTTGTCTCGGAACCGTGCATAAGCTTCCGATTGACTAAAATCATGGTCATGCCTATGCAAACTGAGAAAGCAAGGGCAGTGCACTTTGCCGTACATTGCTCTTGTCTGAGGGAAGCACCCAGCCACCGACATCCACGACGGTCTTGCCGTTGAGGTCCGAGTGGCCATCCACTTTGGGCATGCCGTTTTCCAGCAAGGTTAAGAGGCCAGCTGCCTTGTTCACATCCAGGATGCCAATAGAGAAGTCCGCGAAGTCGTTGCGAATCCCCTGCGTGTGCGTGTAGGTCATGCAAGCATCCAGGGTGCCGTTGTCCAGCAAAGCTCCGAGACTGCCTCCTCCGGCCGAAGACCAGCAGTCGGACCACCGGGTCTCCACGACGGTAATGTTCAAAGTAGCTGAGCAATGAGCGTTCATTGCCTTCACCAACTCCACGGCGAATCCCGTCAGCTCACCGCTTGTCGCGTTCTTGGAAGCATAGGGTGGGTAGTCGATATCCTGTCCGAACGTGTAGGACGTCACAGCAGCCGAGGCGGTCAGCACCTGCAACGCGAGCAGCAATGTGAGCTTCTGCGCCATTGCACGGGAACAGTGGCTTCGGTGACCTCAGGATCTTCTTGGTGCCTCTTCTCCGAGCTTGAGCCCAAAACCGTAGCATGGACCTTCTTCAGCCAGGTTTCTCAGGGAACAGGAAGTCGACGATCGGGTGAAAGGCGTGTTTAAAGCATCCAGAGTTCAGTATGTAACGTTTACGGTAGCTACTACAAGTAATATACTAGCAGAATGTGTGAACCAGTTTTCTTTGCAATTTGGAGACGTTTGAGAAAAGCCGCTCAGAGTGTGCAGCCTGATTACTGCTTCTGCAGCAGGGTCTCCCAAAAGGCATCACCAACTCTGGTTGTCTGGCTGGACACACAGATGCTCATCATGGACCCTGCAGTAACCTTTTGGCACACGCAAAATCACGCAAACATGCGCATGAGGGGGGGGAGCCCCTTCTTGAAACCTTTCAGCAAATTAGGATCCTTGCATCGGTTGAACACGTTTCAGCAAAGAGGTCGTTGTGCCGGTTGATGCGGTGGTCTGGCAGGACAGAGAGCTCTGAAGTCCTTTGGACTTGGCTCCTGCCTGTGGCAATTTGATCCCGGCTCGGACCACCTCACAACACCAAGCCCTGGCTTCTCGCCTGTATTCAGGCTACAGGAGCAGAGCAACAAAAAAGGAGAGTGTGGCACCCATCAACGCTTTGATGCTGAAGCCCTGCGCAAGCGAAGTTGAAGTCGGAGTTGTAGTCGCAGGGCACGGGCAATAACCACTGGAGCAGTCGCCCGAATGCTCGTCGGTCTCCTTGTTGTACTCGTGGATTACGATCCCTGAGCCGGGGAAGAAGCTGTTGACGTAGCAGGAATCTACCAAGTCGTACTTCACACAAGCGTTGTAGTATGCTTCTGTTGCCATGACTTCTGCCAAACAGGAGTTGATCGCTTCCGGCACTCCAGTCCCCTTCTTGGACAGCGCCAGGGTCGTGCCATTGACGACGTAGCCGAACTGCCCTGTCTGGACGTAGGCATACTCCGTGCCGAAGCCTTGCCACAGCGTGCAATTCCATGCCGCAACCATGGTTCCATCACACTGGTAGTTCTTGGCTTGGTCAGCATACACGAACATGGCGTCGGCTGCGCCGTTACGCAGCATCGTCATTGCTGCGTCGTTGCCATCACCCACAACCAATGTGTAGTTGCTCGAGTACTTCTGGTCTAAGCACTTGTTCGTCACGAAGTCCAAGCCATCTGCCGTAGGGGCCTCAGACCCGTGTCTGATCACGCGGGTTTGCTTCCTGCCTCAGGGGCCTCTAAGTCATACCTGCAAGGGGCTG